TGGAAGGTGAAAGTAGAGAGAAGAAGCTACCTTGATTGGGCAACCAGTACCAAGCATTCTTTGAACTAAGTGTACACACTTCTCACATGTTTTAGTACCTGCTGTGGGATCCACTTCCTTCCATTCCCTACATTTTGCTCCCACAGTAGCTTGGTGATCCCAGAGTGAGAGTCTGTGGAAGTGTAATCCATATGCTCTATTGCAGTACAGTGGGTGGCACTTTATTGCAACCTTGGCATGCCCACAGTCGAGGATAGCTGATGTCCACTGCTGTACCATAGCATTCTCAGCGACTTGCAATCCAGCTTCATCTCCATCATTTTTTTTTTTTTTTTTTTTTTTTTACTACCAGAGGAAGCATGTAAGAATGAAATCCATGAGAATAATGTAATTTGAGGCCAGGTTTGCAAACTGGTGTCTTGTAAGTAGAATAGAGTGTTTAGCCATATCTTTTAACAAAAATTCAATGGGTTAGAAATTGTAAAATTTGGATATTTCATATAAACATAAGTTTCTGGTTTTCCAAAAAATGAAAGAAAAGGAAAGAAGAGGAGAGAAAAGAAAAGAAAAAAGAAAAGAAAAAAGACCCAGAAGAATTGGGCCACACAGGCTCCTAATGCTGATGGCAACAATGGTCCAGGTCAGACAGTGGCAGCTGGAGCCCTGCAGAGAGCTTGGTCTCTACCCTCAGCGTGTGTGCTGAGGCATTGCCAGGGAATCTCATTAACTAACTGTGTCACCTGGCTGGCTCTGATAGGCATGTACGCCTTTAGGCTTTGTTTGAGAACTACCCTTAACCGAGTATGAGCCCTTCAAAAACACTTCTAATCCCCTCCATGGTGTTTGGCACACACCCATGTGTCATGGCCTAATCATTGAGAATGACTGCCTTCAGGAAGGTCTGGCCTCAGGTCCCCCTCATGGCAGGCATGTGGAGCTATTGGGTTACAGCCTCTCTAAGCAGGTGGGAGATAGGACGGGAAAAACATCACCTGGTCTATAAGTGTAGTCAGTTATGGTAAGGGTCCTGGCTTTCATATTTGGTAATCAGTTATTTTTAGTAATGTAACTAACTACCAAAATAAAGAAATGGAAGCTTAACATTTTTGACATAAAACAAATCTACCTAAATAAGTAAAATAAATGAGAACCACTGATGGGCCAACAAGATGAGCATGCCACAGCATCCAGGGATATGCCTCCGAGATCGGCTATGAGGAAAAACTCCTGACCTCCTCAGGCTAAACCCTCCAGCTCTTTGCTAGCAGGGGTTTTTGGGGACTGTGTGCACGCAGCCAATGGCTCCCTCTTTCACTTTTAAGAGTGAATGTGGTTCTATTCCTCACCTTTGCATTGTGCCCATGGCTACTGGGTCAGATACTAGTCCCAAGTCCCCACATTCCTTAGTAGTGCCTTTTATCCTGTTTTGTGATATTTATAAACTAGATGGATGTGGTTGGAGCCCTAGAATTTGCTAGACACTAACTCCTTTATTTAGAAGGTAGAAAGCTCACAAAAGGAGACGCGACACACTTCTTTATCCATCAAGCCCTAATAGATCCTGAAATGGGGCTGTGAAGCTTAAAGAGAAACTCATATTTTGACATGATATTTAACTTTCCAGGAAGGAATGCATATGCCAGGAAGGTGAGGGATGTGCATCATCTCATAAACAGTTTTTATACCTTCCATAACTTACTGTATCAGTGACAATGGCGAGGTGGCATAATATACTGCACTATAAAATCACTATATTGCTTTCTGAAAGTTACATTAGATTTGATCAGAAAAAGATGTTGAAGTGTGTATCAGTGAAAACATTCTTCATCGTTTTATCATGGAAAAAAGCCAAGCAGTAAAACTTCTCAACGTGCTTGCCAAGTCCATTAATACATAAATCTAATCACACAAAAAAGTAAAAAAATAAGCTTTATCTTACTCAAAAGTTTTTGTCTTATGAAAATAAGCCATAATTTCCTTTTACCCAAGAGAAGTGCTCTGGATAAAACCCGTTGCATTTGCTCTAATTTTGTTATAACATTATTCATAGTATTTGATGCACAAGCTTAACGTCAACGTCGGTCATACCACACTGAGTTCTTTATTACAGAAATACATAGTTTTTAAACCATAACTGTTCAGATTCAATAGGCAGGTGGTAGCGACTGAATTCCCCAAACTGGCGCAAGTTAAATTTAAACACAAGTTGATGGTTCACACATTCGTGTAAGAAACTTGGATAAATCTGAATTGAATTTGATGACATTTATAAATATTTGAACTGTTTTATTGGATGGTTGCCTGATCCCGATGTGCTCTTTTTTATGCTTCTCCCTTCTTGAAGGTCTTTCAAGGGTGACACTGCACTAAGTGACCAACAGGAAATGCACTAACAGCCCTGGACCTCTATTAGCTCTTTCACTGACTTACAGGCTTTGGTTACGGATCAGGAAACGCTGCGAACTCCAGGGAGTGTGAGTTTTGAGGAGGATCTGTGTGAGTGAGGCCGCAGGGAAGAGAATATCCTTGTCCTTGTGCTTGGATGCTCATCTAGGACCAACACTTCTAAAAGGGCATTCCAGGGAACTCATATCCCAGAAAAGGCCACTTGGTCAGGGAATTTGGGGCAATAATAATGCTTGCAGAGTTTTTATTTAGTAGAAATAATCTTCATGGTGGAGCAGTTAATCTTATTTAAGAAGATTAAGAGATTTTATGTAAAAATTCACATTGATGGTTCTCCTGAAAAATTAAAGCTATGATAATACAGCTAATCTATCCTCACACAGAAATAATGTGTTATAGCTTCTCATTAGGCAGAAATGAGCTCTCCATTCATCAAGTGGCCACTCCGCACTTCTGGGAGATTCGTGCTTGGCTCCTCTGGTGCCGGCTCCCTGAGGACACACAATGTCTTCTGGTGTATTACAGGCTCTGAAGATTCCCTCTGTAAACATGTCCATTTTATATTGTGTACAATTTTCCCAAAGTACAGTTGATTATGTAATATTTTGGACTGTAGGTGCTCTAGACAATTGAGTTTTTAGTTTCAATTTATACTTTAAAGTGTCCAGATGAAAGTCAGTTTCTACTATATTACTTGGTAGTTAAATTCAAATAATTCTTAATTTCTGGTATCAATTTTATGCTACCTTCTGACAAATATTTGTGAAAGCATTTGGAAAGCTTAGATTTTGCAATGAAGATTTCATTTGCATTTCTGGACGATTTTGTAAGCATTCAAGGTGTAGAATCAACCCGTCTAGTTAGAATGTTTTCACATTCAATCAAACCTCAAGCAACATGGCGGAGATGAAGGAGCTTCTGGATTTAACCTGAGGTTCAACATTAAAACGTCCAGATGACGGGACTCACTCTGCTGCTGATCTAATACAAGGCTCTCACAACATGCGTTGCAGAAAAGGCTTTGGAGAAAAAAACCAGAAATACTTGTGTATGTATATGGTAAGTAATAGGAGTGTATAATACTGTTATGCTACCCTCGTAAACTAGAACTTAAGTAGGTATTTCCTTCGTATAAGCATCAACTGAGTAACTCTCAAAGAGATGGGCAATAATTGCTTTTTGGGGAGGCAAGCCCCATATGTAACATTCAATTGCTCACTTTGAAAGCCCCCAAATGATATTTGACTTTTCATTTTGCTGGCTGAGGACACTGCAGTTATAATATTGGGTTTCTGGTTTTTCCAATGTTAGGGTTGGAAAGCATGCTTTTATGGCTGCAAATATTTCATGGGAAAAATTCTGACGGACTACAAGTCTCTAAGTGGGGTGTTCTCTGGATTTGGTTGAACTGGATTCAGGAAAAATAAATGGCAAATAAAGAGGACAAGTAGGTTTAGAAAGAAGTTATTTACCATTTTAATAGGGCTGTCCAACATTTGGTCACATAGATTATTCTGAAACCCAATTGCTTTAATGGTCTTCCTATCTAACCAGAGAGATCTGAATACTCTTAGAAAAAGCAAATCAAACATAGAAAAAGATGCCATGATGAGACTTGTTGCTACAGCACTATACTTAATGATGCCAGACTGTGGACTAATCAAGGGCTTTCCTGCAGTCTAGGACAGCTGTACAAAGCCTCAGGACACTGTATTTACAGGACTTATTAATACAGGGACCCATATCCTACCACAACTCCGCCAGTCTTAACAGTGTGGTGGAGCAGCAACCTCCAGCATCCTCTCTTTCTTATCTGCGTAAATGCTAGTACTCTGAAAATATTTTCCTGGAAGAGGTTAAAACTGTTATTATATATCAGTTGAATATAAAGTATGGTTATGTAAGCCAAGCTTGCATGCTACTATTGCACAGGGCAGAAAGCAATAAAGCAGGACGCGTACTTCCTTGGGCATCTGATACAAACGGAAGGAAGCTCTTGATTCAGTATTGTGACGCTCAGATTCCAGGAGTCCACGGGGAGCTGGCCTTGCAGTGTGAGTGCCTGCCAGTAGAGAAAGAAATGACAACAAAAAGCAACAAAGCAAAGCATCTAAAACTCAAAGTGATACACCAGCCGTCTCAAACTGTGGCACTGTTCATTTCTTGAAGAGAATATATAATATTTCAAAATATTATATATACATATATTTCAAATGGTACAAAGTAACTATAGATCCATATTAGAAGACAGTTGCTCATTCTTCATAATCCCCATAATTTTCATTGAGAAAACCCCCCCTTTTTTTTTTTCTGGAACCCACTTTGCATGGTGTTGGCCAAATCTCCAGGTCTTCCCAGTATAGGATACTTCATGACACACAGTAAAAGCAGTGTGATTATCTGGTAACCAGTCAAAGTGCAAGTAAGAAATCCATTTGGCTTGTAATGTGCTAGATGTTTTAAATTCTTAAAAGGTATTTTCCACAGAGTTGGTTTCCTTTATTACTATAATCAATGCTTCTGTTAGGTTCTTGGGTGAATCTGAAACCAAAGAAAGAAAGACATTTCAGGAAGAAAAGAACAAAATGAAGGTACAGAGAAAAGTGACCAAGCAGAAGATTGAGAACATCTTGAATTTTTAGGATGTCGATTCTTTCAGGTGATCTGAAGTGCAAAATGTTAGTGTTTAGAGCAGTAGTTCTCAAATGGTGATCTGAATACACTGACAGACCACCGTATTTTTAAAAATCAATTTATTAAATTGATTTTGCCGCAACTAAGGAGACAGACTCTCTGAGCCAGGTCTGACTGGCACTGGCTTTATGGGCGTGAGACTACCCAATAGCATAGTGCCCTGTGCCGACAGGGCCCTGCGTTTTGTTTGATGACCTTCTGCTGCCATCTTGAAATTATCAATTTTTGAAAAGGGGCCCTATGTACCCATTTTGGACTGGACTCTGCACATATGCCAGTGGTTCTCCACCTTCCTAATGCTGTGATCCTTTAATACAGTTCCTCATGTTGTGGTGACCCCCAACCATAAAATTATTTTCGTTGCTACTTCATAACTGTAATTTTGCTACTGTTATGAATCATAATGTGAATATCTGATATGCAGGATGTATTTAGGTGGCCCCGGCGAAAGGGTCCTTTGACCCCCAAAGGGGTCGCGAACTACAGGTTGAGAACCGCTGCACTATGCAGTCAATCTGTGTCTGATTAGAATTTGAACCGAGTCGGTCATTGTCCTTGTCATGTTGGCCTGTTGGAAGATGTAGAGGGGTGGCATAAGGTGAAGTCATTGCCAAGGTTTTAGGACATAATACATTTTTCTTCATCATCTCTTAATTCTTTATAGTATTAGAAACTGAGTGTCTGAGTACAGGGAGTATATTTGGCAGGACACGTGAAGCTTTTGAGTTTGATAAGGACAGTAATAAAAGACTGTATTCAAATGTGGAATTTATGAGAAATCACACATTTATCTTTTTCATCCTCTCTGTATAAATAACAGATCCTTTCAAAGCTTGGTTTCCTACATTCCAGTGGCATTTATCACTTTCTCTTTTCACCAAAGGAGAGAAAAAGTGACATTCACAAAAATAGCCTTTTTTGTTTGTTTGTTTGTGTCTACCAACCCATCACCCTTACCGCCACCACCCAAACTTGGTCCCTATCCTCCATGGAAGACCAGGGGCTCTGTCATGTCCACCATCACATCCTCAAGACCTTCACACACTAACTGCAGGTAGTGGAGGCTTAAATATACCAATTGGCTTACTCTGAAAATATTTTCTTAAATATACCATTGGCTTAAATATACCATTTATTTCTTTTGGCTAAAGAAATAAATGAGTTCCCTTGGACCTAGGGATTATTGTGATACTGTGTTGGGATAAGTTGGTTCATTCTTCCTTTCTGCAATCTCCAAACATGTTTCTCTCTCTCTCTCCCTCTCTCTCTCTCTCTCTCTCTCTCTCTCTCTCTCCCTGCCCACCTCTCTTATGCTACTTCAATTTGAAAATATTTAATACAAAATGAAATGGAGATCAGGATTGTACAGGATTGTAAAGGCTCTCAGAGCACTTCAGACCGGGTGGAATTCTGAGAGAGGAAGATGAACTATATCAAAGCTACTACTTTATCTTTTCAATAATATAAAAACATCATGGAGATATGCATGCCGTGGGAGAGAGGCCATTAGGAGGACGGGCCAGATTTGTGTTGGCTGATCACATAAAACAGGCATTTGGCCAGAAGGCGATTGTAGTTAGGTGTGCAATCTGAGTTCTGTTCACTTGCCTGTTGGGGGAGGAAATTTGATTCTGCATTGCGTACTAGCTTGATTTTCTCACTGTTTGAAAGACATTAACATATGGGGCTGTAGGAAGCCCAAAGTTGCATGACGCTTCCCCAGGTATTATACCACATTATATTTTGCTGTTTTAATCTGCTTATTTTTCTTTCCAAGTGACTTTGATTTTCTCCTCATTTCTTTTCCTTCCTCTTTCTATCCCCAAACACCCAGTGTTCGCTTTTCACCTGTGAATTATTGCAGCATTGCCAAATGGCTGATTTCCTCTATGGAGAGCTCTGTCTTTCTAAACTAAGCCATTGTTCCTGCATACGCAGTGTAGAGATTTGTTCCTCAATGTATGAGCTATTGCCTTTCCAACTTTCAAACTTATATTTTTTGATATATGAGTTTAAAGAAAAGGAATAAGCCAGCAGGTCTCTGAAACCATAGGCAAAATCTCTAGTTGATATCTAAGTTGGGTATTCTTGCAGTAAACTACCGACAAGTTAATTTTAATAAAGCAATTGAAGCAAAGATCAAGCAGGGATAGGGTTGAAATTCAACCCTGAGACTTCACCCTGCCTCTTTGGGAGGTTGTCTGTCACCAGCTTTCTCCTACTGGAGGTGTTCTATAGGCAGCATTCACTCAGGGAGCTTCCTCATCCCTTAAGATTTATTCTTTCAAACCTCCTGACAGGAG